TTTGAAGATAAGAGAGGTGAACAGGCATTTTATACAAGAATAGCAGAAAGGAAAAACCCCAAACAATAAAAACTTACCTAAAAACTGTAATACACTACTGAAACCACTGTAAATCCAATCAAATATGAAGGACATATCTGAATATTATCGTCTGAAAAAAACAGAAAAGATAATGCATTTAAGATCTGTCAGAACAGCACATTAAACATTGTAAGATATTTATAGGTAACAAAAGTAATTCACAGTCCTGAGTGAAAAATAAAAAACAATGCAGTTTTGGTAAACTGTACCAGGGACTAATTAAGTGACCCCACAGCACATTAAAAAATTAGTGTAGAGGCGGAAAACAGAATCCAGACCTTCTGATTCAACAGCAAAGACCTCTTCCTCCTCTTGGAAAATGCTAAGTGGACAGAAGCCTTTGCAAGAAGTAAAAATAATTTTCTTAAGTACAGTTTGGTGGATGTGTGCAACGTCCTACTGAAGATTTCAAATGGGATCTTCGCAACTGGGAAAAGTGGTGAAGAAGAGGACAATAGAGAGATGTCAGTGCAGAGTCAGTGCTCCAGCTGCCCTTGGGAGTTGCTGGGGTTTGAAGCAGAGGCAGTAAGAAGTGAAGAAGTTTTGTGAAGTTGAATCCAGAGAGGTTTGATACAAAATAAATCCCTTTTGTCTGCACGGAACCTGTCTGTTTGGCTCGTAATGGGAAACAACTACTTAGCACAAAGCACTGAAATTGTCGTTCAGACTGTGATCTCCTGTACTGTCCTGCACAGGCTGCCACAACTTAAACCTTAAATGCAAAATGTATGTTTAAAAGAAGGACTCTAGAATACCTTGTTTCCCACGGAATTCCTTCAGCTTAGATTAAAGAACAGGTTGAGCCAAGAGTGGTCAGGATGACTATAACCAACACTCTAGTTGTGCCATACAACCATCAGCCAACCATCACAGGCAGGACATCCCTTGCTACAGGGATGAAGCTCTGCTACTCCACAAATACTCCTTCTTTGTGGTATGGTTAAAAAAATATAAGGCTGCTATGCTCCTCCCTGGGAAAGAAGCAAGTTGCCAGGATAGACTGCACAGACTGATGAATTCAGTTGTTCCTGCCCTGGAAAAAAAAACCTCTGCCACCACCAGCAGGGCTGCTTCCGAACAAGGAGCCACGACGGAGGTGTCGGGGTAGCGCTGGCACACGTTGGGTGCCCAGGAGGACAGGCAGCACAGAGGAGGAACCACCGCTACTGTCGAAGCGATGCTTTGAGGTGCAAGAATAAAGCTCACAGGTTTACTAGACAGTCAGCAATTAATTTCTTAGTGTTCATCTTAATTTTCTCATTATCTAAAGTGAGGATAATCCCACTGCAAGCACCAGTTGGACAAGTGAATTAGTATCTAGAGTGAAAACCTCTTGAAAGACTAAAGGGCAACATCCTCAGAAGCATTTAGGCAGCTAATTCCTACTGGAGCGCACAACCCATGCTAACATCAGGGGACGGTGGAGTCCAACTATCCTCGAGAAAGTGGACTGTCCTGCTAAGTGCAGCTGGCAGAGGCACCCATGCTGGTGAGGGCTGTCTTGCCCCATTTATTTTGATGCTGCAGCAGTGCCTCGAGGGATCACAAGATGACTTCAGGGCAGCTCTGACCCTGGAATACAACACCCTAGTTAAAACATAGGTCAGAACCAGACCAAAATCCAGGCGTCTGTCACAGCAGTTACACTTGTGACAATGAACAGAGTTTCTTCACTACACAACAACAGGTATATAGGATAATATGGAAAGAGGAGGAAATAATATTTTAATTATGTTTGCTTACACTGGAACAAAATCTGTTCAGACAACGAAGCACTAGACTCTTGGTTTCTCCATGACTAACCCCGAAACCCTTACCCACATCCTACATTATGATCAGCTGCAACAGGCACAAGTTTTAAGAATACAAATCAAATACGCTTGTCAATGCATAAACACCCAGTTACACAATGTCATGACTGAAACTGTCCCTTGCATGGCTAAAAAGCAAAGGTCAAGAATAAGCAAACACGGCAGAACATACACGTCAGCAGATTTATTTATTGCTTGAGCAAAATACCCATCGAGGAAAGCCTCTATGGGGCTTAAAAAAACGATCGACTCAAATAACCTGCAAATCAGGGCAATCAGCGTGATGTAAGAGAAGCGCTCAGATTACTGAGGTGAGAATAACTTCACAGCCTTTAGTTGTATTAACCTTTTCCATCTATTAAACTTATGGAGAAAACAAAAAATCTTTACGCATTACAGAAAAGACTATAAGGAGCAAAATTCAAATGATTAAAGTGAGAACAGATTACTCTGCAAACACTTTAATCATTTGAAGTGGCATTAATATAGGTTAAATTCCCATCACCACAAGAAAAGTGGTGTTAGAAACCAAGCTATCCAAATACACCCAGAACAGCCTCCGTATCAGCTGACAGCACTTGAAGAAAAATACTTTTAAAATGGGGGAAGAATGGACAGCTAATTGTAAAGGCACACTGGTAATATTTGAATAGAGATATTAAATCTACTCTTACCACACAGGAAAAGTAACTACATAATTCACAGCAGTGTCAAATCAAAGCATTAAAAGGCCATAGTTGCTCTGCAGTGGTATCAAGAGCTGCTATGCTGCGAACACGTCCGAGTCAGAGAGCTGCACCGAACTGAGGGGAGAGCCAAGGCTGCTCGACAGACACAGACTCAAACTCTCAGGCTAGTGTTAAAAATAGCATAAAAGCAGAACAATGAAAACTCTGGCAATCGCTGTTCACAAGCCACAGTGAAGACAAAAATACCATTTTAGGGTTATTTCAAGGGTTCCCTTGAAAATAATGTTGCAAGCAGACACAAGGTTTTAAGGAAGAATTGTACCGGACACAACACAATCTTGCGATACCAACTATTTTTACAGACATCACCAACTTACTCATGCCTCCTTAACAAAAATACGAAAGTTAATTTTCTAGCATCACATCAACAACAGATGGTTATCACTTCAAAATGTCTCCAACAACTCTGGCTAATGTTATTTCATCAGCAATCATTCAGTAACTCCCGTGGAGCCCTGTGAGCCACTCCATGGACTAAGGAGATGTGTTTGCTTACTGAGGACCACTTCTGACTGTGGGGATGTGGAATTCCCACCCAGTGGCTTTGTCAACATCTTGAGCCAGACTCCTGAAGGAAACATTGCTGACAGCAAGAATTGGCAAGCAAACTCACTCACACTTCTTTTATATTCTGAAAAACAGGACATTTTTTCCTCTAGTTTTGACCTGCATTTTTCTAGCTAAAAATGCATCATTTCACTTCTGAACCAGTAAGAATAACACTTACTTCCAAAGTCTGTGAAACTTTAGATAAGAGAGGATATCAGGCTTTAAAAGACAGTTTTGAATCCCTTTATGGAATAATTAGGAAACAAACCAGTGACACTCATGCTGAACAGCTCTTGCAGTAACTGGAAACACGCTGTGCTGTGCCTGGGTGGGTACTGGTGGGTAGTTTCTCAGCAAGAGCTAGGAAAGAAACCTCTGTCCAACCTAACTGCACCAACCCTGCACCCCAGACAGTTAAGCCTGAATACAGGACCTGCGAGTAAGAGCTTAAAGTCTACTGCTAAGGGTCTATTTGAAGTTTTCCAAGTTATAATTTCACAGATGAACATTTTAACATTGTAAAATGTTACCACGGACAGCAAAAATCAAAATCCCTAAGAAACTCAGTGAATAAACTGGTATCTGCATTCTATAGTACAGTTTATTCTATGATATGAAATTGCACTTTGATGTAGTATTTCAAAAGTTGAAGAAAGGGACAGAGTTTGAAAATGAGGTAACAGCGCAGATTTTCTTTGGGTATTTTAAGTATTTTTTTGACAGCAAGTCGCCTTTGAGATTTCAGAAAGAGTAATCATCATACAGGTCCATTACTAATTGGGCTGAAACCCAGAACGATTACATGTTGAACGGTGGATGACTTCAATTTAATTATATTGCACCTTTTACTCTGAGACAGCCTATCTGAATTTTGCAAAGACCTCAGGCACACCTGAAACAGCCACCAGTTTCTGTGCGAGGACAGCACCACGACACCGGTTCCAGAGGGCACCTCACGCAGCTGTTCAGCCGGCTGCCAGAGCCCCACTGTAGCGATTTATTTATTAAAAAGAAAATAAAAATAATATAAAACCCGAAAAGTCATCATTTCTGAAGGAATACTAATAGTTATAATAAGCGTTGACAGCTGGGTCCAACGTGACAGCGGCAGCAGGCAGAGCTCCCGCAGGCTCCGGGCGATGCTCAAACGCTCCCCCCGAGACCCCAGGCCCCGCGGGGGCCGAGTCCGCGGCCACAGCGGAACTGCCGAGCACCCACCCGTGAAATGTTCAGGCACCGGCCAGTGCTCCCAGCCCCAGAGTGCTGCGCCAGGGGCGAGGGAGGAGAAAGAACAGAAAGCAGCATGGCCCCCCTCACCCCCACCTCGCAGCGCGCTGCCCACCCACCCACGCAGGGACCCGCGGGCAGGCCCAGCCGCGGCCGCTGCCGGCCCGGCGCCATGCGGAGCTCTCCCGAGCCCCCTCCGCCGCCCACTGAAGGCGAAGCAGCAAACCGGGACGGGGACCCCCTCCGCCCCGTTCCTCCATCACCTCCCCCCCCTCCGCGCTCACCCGCCGCCGCCACCGAGCCTGAGGTGCTGACGCTCCGCCCACGCGCGGCTCCTTCCGGGCCCGGTTCTCCGCTCCGCCCGCCCGCCCCACGGCCGCGGGGGCTCCCTCGACACCGCCTCTTCCCCCCACCCTTCCCCCGCACACACACGCGCGCACACCCCCACGGGCCCACCCGCACCCCAGCTGCGTTCCTGCCCCTTTAAGGCGCCGAGCTCCGCCCACTGCCGCAGAGCGCCGCTCCCGGAAGTGCCACGTGTACTCAGTGCGCCTGCGCGCCGCCCGGTACTTCCGGTGCGGGGCCTTTCCCCCCCCGCCCCGTTCTCCCCCCCCCCCCCTCCCCGGGCCGGCACCGTCAGACGGGCGGCACTGCCGAGCCCAGCCCAGCCCGCCGCCATGGCCCAGCCCGCCAGGCCCTCCGCTGGCTACCCCAGCCAAAACGGTGCCGGCCAGCAGCCCTATAGCAACGGTGAGTGCGACGCTGGGCTGTCCCGGTGGCGGCGGAGAGCCGCCGGGCCTAACCGCGGTGGTGGTGGTGGTGTGTGTGTGTGTGGGGGGGCTGGTGAGGGACGGATTCCCGCTCCACGGCGCTTCCCACGGCCCCTGCGCTCATTCTCCCCCGGTGCTGCGGGGGCTGTGGAGCAGGCCTCGGTGTTTTGGGTGGGGGGGAGGGTGACGGGAGGGGGAGAACCGGCAACTCCCGGAGTGGGAGCTGCTCGGCTGGGTGAGGTACAGCCGGGGGGAGCGGGCAGGGCCCGGGAACGGGTCAGTACCCCGGTTCCAGCGACGCCCTCCCCGCGTCCCGGCCGGCCGGTGTCAGGAGGGGAAGCGCGGCTGAATTAGGAGAAAAAAAGAATAAATAAATCGATTTAAAAAAACGCTTTCTGTCACCACCCGCAGGAGTGCGAGGACACGGGGGCGGCCGGCTCCGGTTCTGGGGGTCCCGAGGGGCCATGGGGGTTACCGAGGGAGGAGCAGAGAGGTTTATCAGCCAGAGTAAATCTTCATTCCAGCCTTTTTTTTTTTTTCTTTTTTTCATGACAGCTATCGCTGAGTTATTTGTGTGTGTCTGGGCCTACCAATTGACTAAGGTCCCTTTCAGAACCAGCAGTGTTTATGCTGCCAGGGGAAAAGGCCTGGCCTGAGCCCCCCGGGTGCCACCGCCGAGGCGACGGCCGCAGCCCCTGACCTCTGGGCGTGGGGCTGTACATGTGGCACTGTGGTCAGCGCTGGCGGCGGACACCTCGCTGAGCACAAGCTGCAGTGCAACAGGAATTTTTTTTTTTTTTTATCTTGTCGTTTATGTGAAAGTGATATTATCTTCTTCCGTGTGCTACAGTCCGGGAGTGTCTTGATGATTTTCTCCCCTCAAAATATTTTTTTTTTTTTTTTCAAAACAAGATATCAAAGGTGAAACTGAGTAACTTACTAGCCAGCCTTTTAAGCTAGGAAGAAAGAAATACAAGGCAAGCCTTGTCCTCCTATTTGTTTTCTTTGTACGTGTGGAAATCTGTGCTGTTGGAAGCATTTCCTGATTTCACATATACAGACGGCATCCTCTGCACTTGGTTCCTTAATTATACACTTGTGTGTTTCAATAGTTGTGCTGCATCATAAGCGATTCAGTCATAATGAGATCTTTTGATTTTTCTGTTTTATGCATGAGTAATTAAATGGCTTGACTTGTCTTCCCTCTCTTCCATCGCAGTGTGCTTATTACTTTTCCTTAAAGTCATCTGCAAAATGACATTTTACAAACAACTGGATGGTTGCTTGTAGAGTTAAGAAAGTGGGAAGCGTATGAATACAGTCTGAAGAGAGAGCCTCTATTCTGGAGAGCTTACAGTCTAAGCAGAAAATGTACAAAGAAAACGTTAGCTAATGGAGTGATCGAGTGGGATGATTTACAGACTGGCATCACTTTATGTTTGCTGATTTCCCTGTAGTCGGATTAAGCACATAATGGAAGTTCTGGAGAGGCAGTTGGAGGAGGAGGAAGAATTTCAGGCTACCCGGCTGTCAGGTGTATAAAAGAAATAAAGAACTGAAATTTAGAATTACGCAAATAGAAGGTAATAAAATTTAACAGTTGTTATGGTATGTTAGAGATAAGGTTTGGGTTGCTGACCTTTTGAATAAATTAGATTATTCAAGCATGGACTGTTCTTAGCATTGTTTAAAATATATGTTGAGAAGGTGCTTGCAAGCCTTGATCTTTACAGTAAAAACAAAGCTTTTAAAACAATCTAGAGGGTACTGAGCGCGCTACTGTGGTACTTATAGTGGTCTGCAAGGAAAGCAAGTGTCGACAGAATGATTAAATTGTTATATGGCTGTCAACTCTTCCTCTCAACTTGTTGCTTGCTTTACTGTTTGCAGGTAACTCACTGAGCTCATGTGTCCATGAAGGCAGTAAATTCTCACAGCAGCACCGTGTGCTGACCGGGAAATTGTTTAGCACGGAGCATCGGGTTGCTTAGCAGCAACCTTCCTCTACTTCATTTGTGTTTTTCTTTTAATAGGACCAGTATTCTATATTCATTTAACTGGAGGTTACTAATTTGCTTTCCAGTTAATAGTGCAAACAAGGAAGAGAAACAGTTCTTTTAGGACTGTTTTGCTCTCCCCATGTGGTATCTTAGTGTGGCACTTGGAGGTCATGAGATGCTTGGGAAACAGTTGTGTTTGGAAACCAGTGGGTCAAATTCAGTCGAGGTGGGTCCTGGTGGTGACCATGGCAGTTTGGTTGGGCTGTAGCTTTTCGGTGTGTTTCTCCTTGCATCTTCCTGGAGGTTGGAGAGGTGGTGGCTGGTGAAAGTGATGTACTAAATAACTGGCTTGGAGTAGGAGATACTGAAATTCTGTATGGCAGAAAATGCAACTTGAATCCTAGCCTGCACTAATATTTTGACACATTTTATAAAACCATCAGGCAACCTTTATATACATTCTGGTGCCATCCTGATCTCTTAAAAATGTTAAATGACCTTGTGTTCCTGTATAGGTGTCTTCACTGTTAAGTAGGTGGCCTTTCTTGTATTAGTAACTCATCTCTGTAGTCTCTAAGTGTTAGTCGTTTTGCTGGCTGCCATGCAAGTGATCTAGCGCTTCAGTCTACCCTGAACTCCTTGTTGGCTTTTGGCTTCACAGAGCAGAAAACCAGCAGCAGTGTTTGGGGAAAACTGGAGAGCCTGTATGCTCTCTGACAGGCCTTGGTAAAGAGGTCAGGTCAAAACGTGTACCTGTTAGCAGCAAAACAGCAAGGTCTGGGAAGTCTTTGTGGACTGTGAAGCCTTTTGGAAAGAGTTTGTGCCCCACAATGCTGTTGCTTTAGTTTTGTTGGCAGCTTTATGCAGGCTTGTCTTGAAAACCTGAACTGCGTGTTGGTTATTGAGACTTTTTGCTGTGCTTTTGACTTTAAAAATTAAAATTTGGAACACTGTGCTGTGGTGAGTTTGATTTTTAAAGCAAAATGCCATAGAAAATACCTGGTCAGTCAGTTCTGGGTTTCACCTCACTTCCATTGCAATATCCTCAAACTTATCCCTCACGCAGGGAAAACGGTGCGCTGGAGAATAATCCAAGTACACTAATTCTTGCTAGAGCTAGAGAGTCATGCTCTAAGGTGAATAATCAAGTTATGAAATTAATTTGTATTTGTTCTGTATTTTCCATATGGCTTATAGAAATGTTGTTATATCAGTGTACATGCTGATGCAGTCAGAAGGCCTGCTATCACATAAGAATTCTTCATCATCCTTAGAGTTAGCAAGTTTAATTTACAACGGATTTTGCAAATCGATTGTTGAAAACCCATCTGATACACTGCAGGGTAATTTGCGAAGGTGAGTCATAATTGTTAGCATTTTCATCTTTGCAAGCTTTTTGTTTAGACACCATTGATTTTAGAGAATTATCAATTACTAAAATTTATGAGCAGCATTGTAAGGACAGTCGAGTATAACTGGATTTCCTAACTGAACGATAAGTAGCATATTGAGATTAATGGGTGGAGAATAACATGGTATGTACTTTTTATGCACAAATAACAGAGGCAGTGAGGATGAGATCACTGGCACTGTAGTATTGCCTTGGCTGTGTAGTTAGTGTGGATAGGTACAATATTCAGTGAAGTAACAGCTGCCTGTGAACCGTAGCCTAAGGCTTTCTAGGGAATGAGGAGCTGAATGACTGGTGTAGTATTTGTCCTAAGTATTTCAATGTATTCTGCATTTAGCTTGATTTATTAGCAGAAAGGCCCAAGTTCAAAGTTATTTTAACTTGGAAATGTGAACTACCTCACCTTTTGAAATTTAACTAGAGTGAGAGTTTCAATAGGAAACCAGCTGTCTTTGTTTTAATGTTCAGTGAAATTCTGTGACTTCATTCTGGTGGCAGCTGTTTCCAGTACTTGTATGGTAAATATATATCCAGTCTCCAAGCTAATCTCTCTGGCATGTTTTTGAAAATTTAAGTGTTGAATCCCGCAGGCATTTCTGGTCTGGAAAATTAAGTGCTTTTGTTTATATAGGTTCAAAAAAATTGTCCAAATCTTAACTAATTCTGGAAATCTGGAAAGTAGTACAGGATTGCAAAGAAAAGAATCTTAACTCTAAACCATGAAGAGAATCTTCTCTCCTTTCAGATGTTTAACTGTGTATGTGGAATGTCTCCAGTATTCAAACTGTGTGCTTAGGGGGTGAGGGAAGCCACAATGTGACTGGCTAAAATAAGTGATACAACATTGGAAAGCGTTTTAGCCATTTTTAAGGAGTCGTGGCTGGCTGTGGCATGTATCATCTGGTATGTTCTGCTCAGAAGGATTTCACTTGAAAATTTATGGTCTCCCTTCAGAATGTCCATTTTGTAGCAATAGTACAAACAACCTCTAGTAGTGGCTTTTTTATCACACTGGAAATCTCACTACCAGTATTCTGTCTCTGTGTTCCCATGAAAAGCAGAAATCTGATGATGCTCTTGCCAATGTTGTTTACTGTTTGGAGTGTTATTAACCTTATTTCATTTTTTTTTTTCCTTCAAATGAGTAAACCGTAGTTTAACTATACCAGCCAACAAATACATAAATAGCACCATTAACCTATTAAGTTTTATTTTACTGATTGGTGAATTATTTTATGATGATACCCTACATTCCACATTTGTAACCAGTTGGCTGTTCACATGAGCGGTATGTGTATGAATAATTCTCTTACTAAAATTAACTGCAGAAACTTTCATAGATTAACTCTGTCACCTGAGAAATAGTCTAGTGACATGCTGAAACTGGCTGTCTGTGTCTTTGCCATAAGCTGAAGTTTAAGTTGCTGTCAATTGTCAAGTGAAACTGAGTTATTACGTAATGTATGTTTCCATTCTTTCTTCTTGCCTGTACTACTGCCATTTGTGTGGGAGAGTGCTCCTCTTTGGTCAACTTGCTTTTGGGTGTTTATGAAGATAGAAATAGTATTGTGTACGAATTTCAAGCCAGGAGGATGGATTGCGCTCAGTCACTGGAATGCTTAGTGATTTTGAGGCTACTGTAAAACAAAACAAAGATCTAAGTGTTGATAACAAAATGCTACCAAATTGATGCTCCCTGCAGCGGTACATCTGTGATACCTGATTAAAAAAAAAAAAAAAAAAAATTACGTTTATGCCTTGGAGACTTAATAAAATCCAAAGGAAGGCAGTTCCCAGGAGCATCTCTTATTTTTGGAATTAATATACAACACTGACTTTCTAAAGGGTTTGTTGTATTTCCTTCTTCCAGGTCCGGTTCCAAATCAGCTGATGCATTCATCAGACGGCCAGCGATATAGTCCTTTGGTTCCAGGATCATACTCTCATCAGATGCCAGCAAAGGTTCCTCCCCACCAGTCCTCTGGACAGTACAACTATAGTGGCTCTCAGAATGTTTCTCAATTAAACAATTATCAGGGACCCGGGCAGACTCTCAACAGACCACCAGTGGCACCTTTCTCTGGGTCGCCAGTACAACAGACAGGTCCTGGTCCACAAGTGCTGCTGCCTGCATTGCAAAACTCAGCTGCTATCTCATCTGCTGGTAGCTTTCCTCCTGGAGCTAGCCCACCAGTGCTTTCAAACTGGCAGTACAGCCAGACTCCTGTGAGTCAGCCAGTTGGGTCTCAAACAAGCCATTTGGCTCATGTGACGGGGACAGGGTCAGCTCAGCCACCGTCATCTTTATCAGGAAATACAAATCCTCCAGGAAATTATCAATATGCTGCTTCTCCGGGAGGTCCTCCACTTCAGAACAGCTATATGAAGCCAGGTAACCATAACTTTTCGATATTTTACCAGTGTGCATTTTTCAGTGTCCTTTTTAAAAAAAAAATATAGAATTGACTCTGCAGTAGCATTTTGCTTGTGGAACAAGATTGTCAAAGCAGCTAATTTGAGAAAATATACCTCACAAATACTGGGGTGGTTTCTTTGGATTAGAAAGGGAAGTTCTGTGCACAAGTCCAGGATTTCAGTTGGCTGAAGCAGGTAACTCCTGAACTGTGTCTCGTTGTTTTGGGAAGCTGTGTGTGGGTAATGTTGTTTCTGTGACTTTCACCATTCCTTGGGGTGGCTGTTGGAGCATTGGCATGCTTCAGTCAAGTGGGCACTTTGAGATTTCATGGTTGAAAACTGTAGTCCTGTTTAGTCAGTGTGGTCTTCTGCAGTTTAAAACTTGTTAGCCTTTCTGCTAATCACTTGATTCAGTTAGTTCTCTGAACAGCATCAGTTAGGTTGATGTAAACAACTTGAGCACAGCATGGAAAGAAAACTGAAAAGCATTCTGTGCCATTGAAATAGAGGCCAGTTCAATGGAAAGCTTCTTTCCTCCAAACTTGTCATTTTCACTATCTAATAATAATTGTCAATCTTTAGAAAGTATTCTGAAAGCATGAGACTTTGGTTCCTGCTGCTTGTGTGCTGGTATCTGCAGTGGTGAAAAGATTTTCTAACACAAACCAGCTCTATTATGCAACTTGTGATTATTATGGAAACAAAGTTAATACTCAGGTTTCTCTTCACCAAACTCCTGTTTGTTGTTATAGAGGTTTTTCTAACTGAGCATGCAAATACAAGTCACGTACAGAAATATTTTAAATGTTAAAGCAAATATTTTTTTCTTGTGAAGTGCTTTGAGCCTCATTAGAAATTTTTCTTGATGCTAGTTTTTTTTGTTATATGCCTGACTAATTTTGTTATGATATTCAAACTGTCTTAAACGCACGGAATTTAGGAAACTATTTCTGGCAGTTTATTGGAATAAACAATTAGTACTTCGGAGTTAATGAGGAAAATGCTGAGAAATTTTAGAAAATGGCATGGGAAATGAGAGCGAATGTCTGGAATGAGGGAATTCTTATATCCATTCAATGGTGAATCCTCCTGAGCAATTTCCCTAATAGTGTTTGTTTTTTTTGTTTTTTTTTTTTTTTTGGTAGAACTGTGATCACCAAATGAGCTAAATTCATTTTTAAACTCAGAACAAAGCTTTGCCAGCTCATTGCCTGCGTGGCCAACTTTGGACAGCTTCTTCGACACAGACTCTCTTCCAAGTTCTGTGATAGTGTTGCCTACATACAGCAATTATTAATTAGCTTTGCAGTATCAAACACTAACTGAACAAATGTAACTTCACTGGATGTGATTTTATTTTTCCCTTTTTTTCTTTCCCTCCTCCCTTAAATGTGACCATACTGTGCAGGTTCATGAAGTTGCATATTTTGTGCAGTGGGGAATTTGTCAGTATGCTTTTGTGTTTGGCTTATAGGCTTCTTTCTGTACTGTGTTGAGACCTGGTGATAATGGACAATTTGGCCTTATCTTTTGAAAGATAACTTTTATATTAAAATGCATTGGTGACTTCCTAGAGTTACAGGGCAGTTATACTGGCCTCTGGAATAATAGGGAACAAAGGGGTGGAAGAGCTCTTAGGATTTGGCATTACTTGAAGGGAAGAAAAGCAATTGGGTTTCTAAATGTATTGACTTGAGAAAGTCCTAGAATTTTAAAACAGAAGCAATTAAAAACTTCGCTGTGATTTCTAACATGGAGGGTTAAACATTTCAGAGCAAAACACCTCACATGCACAGCAAGTTTATTCAAATGGCACATTGCTGATGCTTTCCTGAGTGAAATCTTTTTCCCAAGTAATTTTACTAACTGTAGAATCTGTACGTTGCTGTTTTGCATCAGATTATTGAAATGGAAGATGAGCATCCTGTCAGAAGGAATCTGTTTAGACTCTTACTAGTTCACTATTCTCTGTTTAATATGGGGCTGTACTATAACTTTATAAAGTCTAGACTTAGTAATTGAAATTGGGATGCTTTCTGTACCTCTTGAAATTCATACCAATAATAGCCACAAAAAGCTGAAAGAGATCGTGGGTAATAGGTATAAGAACCCAGAATGAGAAAAGCATGACAGAAACAATCTGAAGTTTTGAAACCTTCTACACGTATGTTAGGATTTATGTATCTCATGCTGTTTATCATTTGAATAAGAAGAGTTCAAGCTGTGTGCTTTTGTGACAAAACTTGTGATGTTTTCAGTTGAGTGAAACTCCTCCTAGAAATTAATCTCTTTACAGGATCTGCACCTCCACCAGTGACTCAGCCTTTAACTCCACTCCACCCCCCTGCAAGGCCACCTTTAGGACCTCCACCAGTTGGTGGTCCACCTTTAATTAGGCCATCAACACTGATAGCAGGACCACCTAATACACAGTCTCTGCTAAATTCAGCTGCAAATCAAGAAGGTAAGAAATAATTTGCTCTTTTTACTGAATTTGAACATTACAACTTGATCTAATATGCAACCTTTAAAGTCAAGTACACTGTTCTATTAGACACTCAAATAATAAAATTGATACTAATGCAGCATAATTCTGTCTGAAAGGAGCAGGTAAGGACCTTGAAGGAAGTAAAATATTTCTTGTTGATGGTTGTTAATAAAATAAAAATAATTAACATTTCAGAATAGATTTTTAAGTGCCATTTGACATGTCCACAGTTGTCATCTCTTTTTAATTTGTAGTGTTTTAAAAGGATATTGAAATCCTGATTTCTCTGCATCCCTGACTGCTGTAGAGGACATAATCTGCATATAACTTCCTGTATTGTTTTATTCTGCAGGGAAAGCTAAAATATGGACCCTGCAATTCCTTGCCTGTTTACGTAGCTGTACCTTATTCTTCCCTTCTCTGTAAAATCACTGAAACATATCTTGGCTTTGTTCATTTTCTGAAGGTTGTTACTAGAGGCTGTTAAGTGTCAGCTGTTGAAGACAGATACCGGACTTTCTCGATGTCCTGTGGGCCCTGCACAGATATGTCATTGTTTAAGAACTCATCAGGGCTCTGTATCAGACCTGCAGTTGTATTGCGTTTAGTGCTTATGCTAGATGAGGCCAAGTGGTAGTTGGCAGTTTTATTTTTACATACATAGTTTGTTCTGTCAAAACTGTTGGTTCCTTGCATGTTCGGGTTGACGGTTCCTCGTATGTGGTAGCTGTGTGAGTGCAAGAATAGTATATTCAGATTTAGCTTAGTTTTGAACATATGAAATGCATTAGGAACTGCTTTTGCTTAGAAAGTCTTTTCTTCATAACGAAGAGAAACATTTCCAGGGCCCTGGAGGGATAGAAATGTTTAGTCTGTGAAGTAGGTTGACTGCTGCATACTAGCAAGATTCAGACCCTTTAATTGGGTCATCTTTGAAGAATTTAGTGATAATAAAATTAAATTGAGTACCTACTTTTCCTTAGCAATAGATAATTGGTTTTGTATATTTAGATATAGTTAGCTTACAAAAAGCTGTCCTTTGGGAGCACCCTCTCAATTTCAAAGTTTTCCTTATCTCAGCTGGAATTTACATCTTGACTGGCATGTGACCATGTCAGAACTGTTGGTGTTTGTTGAGCAGTAATCTTAAAAGATAATTCAACTGGGAGCATAAGGACTTCTGTTTTCCTTGAAAAAAGATTGTGGGACTTTATGAATGTCCTTTGAGGTCACATCAGCAGGACAAGTGTGTGTGAGAAAGAGGCTAGGATGTATATTTAATTCAGTTTGGTCCTTGAACAGAAACAAAGTAGATTCAAACTATGCTAATCATAATACCCAGCATGTAGGATTTCTTTGCAGTTACCTCATTACAACTTCTTAGTAACTTGTGAAAATTTTTACTGGGACTGTTTGTCTTAATAGGCGATACTACATCTGCTGCCAGTGATGGGTCTGTGGTCCAAAACAGCTACGATGCAATAGAAGGTGGTGGCCTTATGGGTAAGGCTTTGGAATTAAAAATGTTTGCTATTACCTACCTTTTTGTAAGAGTCTGGGAAAGACGGAAGTTTAGGTATTTATGTACAAACATATATACTTGGTTTGAAGTCTGTCTTGAAACTAAATATGAAATTAGAAGCATTGACAATAGACATGTCTGCCTGTAAGTATGGTAAAGCAGTTAAGAGCATTTTGCAAAGTTGGCTGCAGTTGTCAGCTGTTTACACCTAGAAACTAAATAACAAGAAAACCCCCTCCTGCTGTATTAATGCATTGAGCAAGCTGCTGTTACTCAGCAGTTAATTTTCAGTATTTGTCTTATCTGCCTTTAGCAACTCCACATCCTTCTCCTGCACCCCCAAATCTTAAGATGAATAGAAGTGTTGGATATTCTTACCCTACCTTACCTCCAGGCTACCAAAATACTTCACCTGGAGCACCAGGGATGCAAGCGTCTGCTTTGCAATATCCAGATGGATCAAAACATTTCCACCAGGTACAGATTGTCTGGTTTTTATCTCAGTACTACCCATGGTGTGTGTGGGTAAAGAAAAGTGATGGTTGGTGTGTGTTACGGGGTGCTGCTTCTACAGTTCACTGTTTGGTGCGCCCTTTGTTTGATATGGTAGACATAGTCTGAAAGGAAGGCTTTTGTTGGCGCCTTGGTACCAGTCTGGAAAAGCTGTGTGCCAGCTCTTTCTGAAGTGTTCTATCCTTGAATCTGTTCAAAATATTTTTCTTAACGCTTTCAGCTGCTTTTGGCATCTTTTTCTTTCCTTGGGCTGCTATTGTTACCTGAAGTATTTGGGTTTTTTTCGTGAAATTTCAAAGCTAACTGACCAACGCTTTTGCCACCTGAGCCTCTGTATTTCAAGAGCTTTGTAGCAAATGTATGCTAGGATTTACCTCTGTGTTATGTGCCCAAGTTCAAATTTATGTAAATATATAATTTTAATACAATGTCAGTTAATACACAAGCAACACAAAAAAAGAATCAAAGGGAAATAAGTTTGCTTTTTAAATGAACTGTGGGTTTCATCCAAATAATTGGTGTAAATTTCTGAAATTTTATTTGACTCTAGCCTGCCCTGGGCACTAATCACTTAACTGCATCTATGGGTGGCCTGAGTCTACAGCAAGAAGGATTAAGACCTGTGAACCTTCTTCAAGAAAGAAATATTCTTCCTACGACCCTCTTGAAGGCTCCTGTCCCAAACTTGCATGAAGACATCCAGAAGCTCAATTGTAACCCTGAGTAAGATTATCCATTTGCTATAATTCATCAAAATAGATAGAAATTCCTGCTTGTAAATATAACTCTTCACAAAGTATTTCCTTAATTTTGTGAGTAGAAAACATTGAAAATGGGCTTCACTGTGTTATGATGAAGGCAGTAAGTGGTTTAAACTTTGAAGTGGGGAAAATTATCTGTGTAGAAAGTACAGGGAAAAATACGTTGCTTGCAAGGCAGCTATAGATAGGTACAATACAAAAACTTTAGAATGTAGCTGGCAATGAGTATGATTGAGAGAAGATATAAAATGGGAGTTAAATCACTTTGAGGTACACCAAAAAGATTGTGAAGGCAGAAACATGAGTGACCTCTGTATTGAAGTAACCATTTAAAACAATGGAGTAAATATAATGTCAAACAAGGGGCTGGCAGTTGGTTATTCAAGTCATCTCTGAGGAGACCCACCAAACTGTATAACCAGGTACTCCTGCTTTGCAAGTCTTATGATAGATAAAGGAAATAACAGCATCTTTGTGAAGCTGATCATACAAACGAGCTGGGTGGGATTTGCAGAAGTACTGTGCACACCTGCACTTGTGGAAACCACTGAGTTCTGAGGTTCCTGAAATGACTGTGGGGTTGATTGTTATTTTTGTGTAGTTTCAAGACAACTTTTTAAACTTCGCTGGTTTAGATTTGTATGTAAGGCAACCTCAAAATGGTATTCCAGAATAGGACTTAGCGCATAAAGGTTTGGTGGAACTTTGAACATTGTTAGACTTAACCGTGAGTGGCTAAAATGGCACTCAATTCTGTGTAAAGAGCATGGATAAAAAAAATAAGAACTCAAAGTATGTATTGTGGGACAAGCTCAGACTGAAACAGAATGATTTGACAGAGTTGGAGAAGATCCTTTATCTGGAAACAGAAATTCATCATTATCAGCTCTAGAAAAATATAAAGGATGCTCTGTGCTACTGAAATCATCATTCTATTATCTGTAAGCATCTGAAAATAACCCTTTGTCCTCCATGTAGGTTGTTCCGCTGTACCCTGACTAACATTCCTCAAACTCAGGCCTTACTGAATAAAGCCAAGCTTCCTCTGGGGCTCCTGCTTCATCCTTTCAAAGACTTATCGGTATGACAAATATTAAAAACTTTAATTGCTGAAATGTCAGCTATGCCTGTATTAAAGTCCAGAGCTGGACAGTGAATTACAAAAGAAGGGCAAGTACGTTGGCTAATCTTGGCCCAGAAGAATTAACCTGGTAACTGACATTTCCTTGTTCCATACAGATCATTGTAACTTTTCTGATTTTTTTTCTGCCATTTTTGAACTTTCAAACCTTATTTTTTACGCAAAAAAACCCTCCCAAACCTCAAAAAGCCAGCAGCTTAGAGGCAGCACAACACTTGGACTGTGACAGAAGGCAACACATCTAAATTCCAATATTACTTAGCTTTATCTTACCACATATCAGCTGTAGTTATTGATTCCCTATACCAAACCTAGTACTAATTCTTAATTAAGAATTTAAAAAGTTAAAAGGGTTTGTATGTTCTCAGGTAGCCAGGAGACTTTGTGAATTTGGCAGTGCCTCTTCTAAAGATTATTTTTCACAATTTAAGGAATTTTTCTAAGATGTTGGGTTTTTTCTGGTTTTGGATCTGTATTGGTTGTAGGACTTGAATTTCAGACTCATGGTTTAAGACCAAGACACTAGAGTCTTGGAAAGGGAACCTGCGCAGTCAAATAGGTTAGAGCTCGGTTCTGACCAGTCATTTTATTAAGGAATTGTAGGGGTGCTGTGAGGATACGGAAATACTTCTTCCTTCAACAAGTATGCTTGGACTAGCTAACCAGGAAGCACAGTGTAGATAATGCTGGTATAGTAGGTGAATAGCTGGAGTGTGATGATGCTTTAAAACAGGAAGCTTTTCTTTTCCAGCAATTACCAGTGGTGACTTCAAGTACCATTGTGAGATGCCGTTCCTGCCGAACATACATTAACCCTTTTGTCAGCTTTCTAGACCAAAGGAGATGGAAATGCAATTTGTGCTATAGAGTGAATGATGGTAGGTTTTAAATGTGCTTATTGCTTCAAACTGTGAAGGTTAACCTTTCCCATCTTGGCTTTTGAGACTGTAATATTGTTGGCCATATCAGTACTAGGGATCATGGTCAGTCATGCTGGGACTGTGAGACATGAGAAATGTTTTCCCATGGGCAAAGACAGTGTTGTCACTAATGAAGCACAGTGGTCTCCTAAGGTACCCTGGGAGGTGACAAAGTGGCTGTCCCTACCTAGTGTAGTTCTCCAAGAAGTGTTTCCCAACAGGCACAAAAGAGTTGATTTATTTGTTTTTAAAATGCAGCACAGCTAATACTAGTGTGAAGTAATAATATATAAACTTTTCTGTGTAGTTCCTGAAGAATTCATGTATAATCCTGTGACAAGAGTTTATGGAGAGCCTCATAAAAGACCTGAAGTCCAGAATGCTACTATTGAGTTTATGGCTCCATCTGAATACATGGTAAGGCTTTATTTTTACTTTTAGTTATTCTCTCTTCATTTTATTTCCAGAGGGAAGTCAGAAAAAGCCTAGTTACAGAGGATGCTTTCCAGCTCAGTAGAACAGTTGCTGCCTCAGAGAGTCTGAGAACTCTTGGGAAGAACTTCAGACAGTTCTTCATTTCTGAACTTCTATGATGTCAAATTTCTTCTGTGTTTAGAATATGTTGGTGTTTGTAGGTCTTCTGGAAGAAGATTATAGTTCTAGAATTACCCAACAAGAGACAAATGCATTCAGAAGTTTGAGCTATCATCTGTGTGCTGTTTTAATAGAGTTTAAACTTGCAGTGGAATAAATAAATCCAACCTAATAAATGTCGTTTTGAAAATTAAAGGTAATCTTTTCTTTGCCCAGCTACGTCCGCCTCAGCCACCTGTGTACCTCTTTGTGTTTGATGTCTCTCATAATGCAATAGAGACAGGATACTTGAATACAGTCTGCCAGACCTTGTTAGACAATCTTGACTTGTAAGTACCTTTTTCTTAGAATCTCCTATTTTTGTTCCTCTTATGAAACTCGTGATAGACATCAACATGCCAGTACTTCCTGTCTAGAAAAGAAATTTCCTAACTCTGGCCAGCAATGGCTAAATTTGTATTAAAACATAGCATAAAGCTGTAGTCTTTTTTGCCATCACAACTGCACTGGTATAAAAGGTAATTTTGAGGCTTGTTTCTTAGTCTGACTCTTTCTTACCTGCTTCACCAGTCCTAAAAAGGAATAAACATCACATTTGTGATGTCTTTTGAACTCTATTTTTAAAAGCTGACATTTAGAGAAGTATTTGCTGAATGGAATGTGTACATCTAATAAACTTCTCATAAAATACATGCTGTTTGGACTTACATAAATGCTGCTTAGTATTTTTCAGCTTGTTTCTTCCTTTTCTCCCATTTCTTGTTACTGTCTTAAAAATTTGAGTGTCTGCTAGATGACTCTACTATGAGCTCCTTTTTGTTTTGTTTGTTTTTTCCTCCAAAATGACTTAGTCAAGCTGTTGCAGTGTAGCTGTTAAGCTAACTACTTGGTAACAACCTTGGACAGGTGCAGTGGATTGAAAAAAAAAAAAAAAAAAAAAAAAGCCTGCAGAAATGAAATTTCATCTTGCTGAACACCATATGTCTCATTTTTAGGCTTCCTGGGAACACTAGAACGAAAATAGGCTTCATAACGTTTGACAGCACAATCCATTTCTACAGTCTTCAGGAAGGTCTCTCTCAGCCTCAGATGCTTATAGTTTCAGATATTGAAGGTATGCAGAAATAAATTCTGTGATTAGTATCTAGTAATAACTGTTGGTTTTGACAGCCTTTTGAAAAAATGTATCTGGTGAGAATTTCTAGATCAGATCATTAGCATTTCTAGTAATGGCTTTAGAAGTAGCATATGTCTGTTCGTTTATGAAGCCCCTGATGTCTGAGCAATGCTGTGGCTGTTCATGACTTAAAACATGAATCCAGTCTTCCGAACTTCTAGTTTAATTTGTACAATTATCTAGATTTCTCTTATGATCCCAAATACTGATGCTTGGTAAATTGCTATAGATTCTGCAGTGACTGCAGCTTAGTGCTTGTTCTTCTGCCTTTAGTTTCAAGTCACCTTTCACTGTATGTTATAGGGCAGGGCAGAATGAATAGCAGAAAATCTTCACTATACGATTTTACTTCATAGTCTTGATTATCCTTCAACCCTGTTGATTTCTACTCTAGCATGGCATTCTAGCCACAGGTATGCTTTTGACCAAAAAAAAGAAATCCACATAATTACGTTTGAATGAGTTTACACACTGATACTGTGTTCTTTTTTAAATAGGTATAATGGTTGGCAAATACAACTGGGGGGAAGCTTGATGTGTGTTTAAAAAATAACTTAAATACTTTTATTTTCCTTCCAGATGTATTTATACCAATGCCAGAAAACTTATTAGTAAATTTAAATGAAAATAAAGAGGTAAGAACTACCTTAAATAACTAGTGACATTCACATATTTTGGCTTGATAATTTCTAGATTACTTAATGCTCTTTAACACCTACAGTTTAAATGCCAAGTCTGAAGTGGAAAAAAGTGGTATTTTAATTTATCTATGTGACTAAACTTTTGCCAACCTAAAGCAAGACAGTACTTGACTTTTGCTAGGGCTTTTTCTTTATCACTTTAGTATTGGAAGTGTTAATGCATGTTCATGTATGTTCAGCAGTCAGCTCTATAAAGAAGAAAACTCCAAAGATTCCTAGTCTTAATGCTTTTGTTTTCTCAATTGTAGCTAATTCAAGATCTGTTGAAGACCTTGCCACAGATGTTTACCAAGTCCCTGGAAACTCAGAGTGCTCTGGGGCCTGCATTACAGGCTGCCTTTAAACTGATGTCCCCCACTGGAGGTAGAATCTCTGTCTTCCAGACTCAGCTTCCGTCTGTGGGAATGGGAGCACTAAAGTCACGAGAAGAGCCAAACCAAAGAGCAACTGCAAAGGTTAGAGAAGCAAAAAGGTTGAGAGAACTGACTACCCTGTTCTGTACATCTTGGTGATTCTGGAATTGCCTGTTCTGGGTTAATGTTGTGGTTCTCTTGTTCAGCTAACCTTCCTTTGTTAAAGTAGTAGAAGGAACAAAAAACCCCCAAGCAATATAAATACAGATTAGTGAACTGTTTGTTTTTGTCAGGTTGGGTTTGGGTTTTTTTTGTTTTTGTTTTTTTTTTTTTTTTTTAGATACCAGTGTAATCAGTGATGGAGAATCTATTACTGTCCCTGAAAACAGGCAATAAATGTGTTTGATCTGTTTGAATTTCCATTGTATTTTGTAATACTCCACTGTATTAACAGGACATACATCTGACACCATCGACTGATTTTTATAAGAAATTAGCCTTGGACTGCTCAGGGCAACAGGTTGCAGTGGATTTATTTCTCCTTAGTGGACAATATTCTGATTTGGCTTCCCTAGGTAAGTCATATTAAGCTGTTTTGGGGCATGTAACTCTTGTACTTCTGGCAAACGCATAGAATCTACATTAACATTTAGTACATGAACCTAATTTGAATGAATCTAGTGTGTCAAGATGCAAATTCATCCTTGATGAGCAGTGACAGTGAATAGAATGTAATCTTTCAGTCTTTGCTGATTTAACCTAGCTGCTTTCATATTCTCCTTTAGTGAGTCAGGATTCTTGTGATCCTGGAATAAGTGGCTGAAATACTTTCCTTCTTTTATGTCTTTTAAACATCATTGTAAACATCTTTAGTCTAAACTTCATTAGCATTTTAATTATTTTTTCTCCATTTGACCAAACTTCCAAGTAACAAAGTACCTGTAATTTCAGGCCAATGGACATATAGTTGTGTTATATCTGTGTGTGTGTAACAGCTATTGGCAGGTGTGAACAGTTTAATGATTAAAGGAAATAATGCATTCAACTGGTGTATTTAAAGACCACAGCAACAACTGTCTGCACTCTGCCAACATATGTTGGTTTTGTTTCAGGTTGTATATCAAGATATTCTGCAGGTAGTGTCTATTACTACCAGTCTTACCATCATAAACACAACCCTGTCCAGGTGGAGAAATTGCAAAAGGAACTGAAACGCTATTTAACTAGAAAGATTGGGTTTGAGGCTGTCATGAGGATAAGATGCACCAAAGGTTTGAACGCAGTATTTTGGGGGGCGGGGGTGGGGAGGGGAGTGGATGTCTTCCGTTATTTGGGAATGTTTTGATTGGTGTTTTGGCTGTTATGCAAGCTTAAATGGTTAAAAGACAAAGATTAGAAAAGTAAAATTCAGTACTAGGAATGAGACCATTTATTTAAGACTATATTTGCAGGATCTTTACTGGCATCCAAGTGCCATTTTACAACTGTTAAAACTGGAAATTCAACAGGGGACTGTTTTTACAGTCTAGAGATTTACTACTATTCTGCATTGATTTGACTTTCAAATTCCTGCTTTCTGCTAGGCTTTGTGGATTCTGTGGATTAGTTGTCTGTTTGGGATATTTACCTTTCCTGAAGATACTTTTATTTCACTGAGAAGGATCTTAACATTCTGATACAGACCCATATAACGGTGATGGCAGATGTGTAAATGGTGTCTGTACGTCATGACTATAGAAATAAAACTGATTCAATACATGCTTATCTTGTAGGTCTCTCCATTCATACTTTCCATGGGAACTTCTTCGTACGATCTACAGACTTGTTGTCATTACCCAACGTAAACCCAGATGCGGGATATGCTGTGCAGATGTCAGTGGAAGAGAGTCTTACTGATATGCAAGTTGTTTCTTTTCAGTCAGCTCTCCTGTACACATCCAGCAAAGGTAAGACACACAGGTTGTGTTTGCTGCATTAACAGTACAGTATTCAGATGAGTCTCTTTGTGTCCATTTATCAGTTGCAATTCAGTTGCCATAACTTACACAAACTATTTTATCTAGTATCAAGGTTACAGTTGTGATGTGTTATTGCTTCTTCCAGTTTCTCGGGAAACTTAGTTCTGGTCTGAAAATAAGTAGACTTAACCTGGAAACTGAGACCTAACTCTTAGTAAAAGTTACTGGAAATGGCCTGAACCACCACTTGTATGATAAATTAGATTTTTTTTTTTTTTTGCTATTAAGTGAACGGTGGCATTTCTTGTATTGTTTCATAAAACAAGTTACGTCTGGAGACTACAGTTTTCTTTTCTTCCAGGTGAAAGGCGAATTCGTGTCCACACTATGTGCCTACCTGTTGTAACAACACTGAGTGATGTCTACCTAGGGGCAGATGTGCAAGCCATCACTGGGCTGCTAGCCAATATGGGTAAGCATGATAAGAGCTGGTTTGGATATGTGTGGATGATATCCCTAAAGCTCTGAGCAGTAATCCTCTGGGAAGTAATGTTAGAAGAAAAGAATCTCTCTGAGTGCTTTCTGAGTTGCAAACATAAGAGGTTTTTCTTTAATGCTTGGCTTAGGTAAAGTATCAGTACAGCTGTATGTAGTCACCTGGACTTAGTCTTAGTCTGGTGCATCATCATGGGCCCCCAGCTTTTTTTCTGCTTCACTTGTCTTCCTCTATAGTGTAGCAAAAGCTTATTGAGATACATGGAAGTATATTCTCAAATGAGAAAAGTTAACATATGTGACTGTATTCCTACCAAGGGAGGAGAAGCCTCTTATTTGAGATTTGCACTCTATTTTTAGCTGTGGACCGATCAGTTTCTGCTACTTTAAGTGATGCTCGGGATGCCTTGGTCAACGCAGTGATAGATTCTTTATCTGCTTACCGTTCATCAGTCCTAAGCATTCAACAACCTGGTCTCATGGCCCCCTACTCACTACGACTCTTTCCACTTTATGTCCTGGCACTCTTAAAACAGGTAAGAGTTAAAAGGAAGCCGTGCAACGGGATGATTGTCTGTTTGGCTGTCAACCTGAAGTAAAAGCTGTTTCTTTGATGTACAAAATAGCATCTATATTCTTTTTCAGCATTTTTGTATGACTCAATTTTGAGAAGTTGCTTGATTTAGATTTTTTTTTTTTTTTTTTTTTAATAAAACCTGCAATTTGCAATTGGAGTACTGAGATATTTTACAGATTTGAGGTCCTTTTTGCACAGAAAGTTCTCTCAGGATAACAATTAATTTCTCTGCACCTCAGAATTTGATGACTTGAAAGGTCAATGTAAAACAAAACCTATTTAATTGTTTTTCAGGCCTGGGTAGATAACACACAATTTTACAGGTGGTGAATATGTGTTTTTATCATGGAGTCTGTTACATTATAAAAAATTGAAGGATTTGAAGATTTTTATGGAGCAAATGTATCAGAGTAATGGACAGGCCTTCTGCTCTTGCCTGCAGAGGAGAGTGATAGGGTGCAGAGATGATGTTTAAAGGGTATCACTATGAAGAATGATGTAGTTGAGAAGCGGGAGTTTGGAATTGTGTATAAAAACAAAAGTATAAATGTTTTAAACAAAGGAATAGGAAAATACTAGAGACACTGACTGGTCTAGAGAATGTAGCAGGGTACTGATAGAGTGTTTTTTGAGGAATCTAATTTTTTTGTGTTTCTGGAGATGTAGACCCACACAGCAGTTCAGTGTGGATAAAAGAGAACTAGTTGGCTGGCAGAGGTAGGTAGCTGGCTCTTTCTTGCAAAAGGTTTAAAGCATTTCACAATATTTGCTCAATGTTAAGTATTTTTTGATTGGATTTTCCTGAACTGATACTAGAAATCATTTTGAGTGTTGGACAAGTTGGCTTTCTGTTCTAAAGATAATCTTCTGATTCATACCTCTTGATAAAGAATTAACCAGCATGTTGCTACTAGCATGTTCATACTGACATTGGAGGTTTTCCACGTAGAAGACTGTGTTTGACCCAGTCAAGTGGGAGGAGTGAGCCCTTGTTTCAGTTATAGCTGGGTTTTTTTTTGTCTCAACAAGCCAGGACTATATCTTTATTGTAAATCCAGAATTACCTAAGATTCTGTGCACTGAAGCCAATCGTAAACTGCTCCAATATTTTCTCTTTTAAATTCCATCAAGTAGCATTTTTGAGGTGTATGTTAGAAGAGGCATATTTCAAGACGCTTTCATCTCGGCTGTACTGCTCACTAGAAAGGACTGATGGTGCAAAGTCATGGTTAATTCTAGAACCCAGAAGTGGGAATAAGGAGACTTGTATGATTTGTATGTGAAACACTGAAGAGAACTATGGAGAAGTAAATTAGCAGTGAAAAAATACCATACCGTGAGAAAATACTTAGGGCTCATCTCTTAAGACTTAAGTAAGTTAGAAATAAACACTAGATGGTGTGCTAAATTCAGTTTATCTCACTTTGCTTTAACGGTCAAATTAAATGCCTGATCATTTGCAGAAAGCATTTCAAACTGGGACGAATGCACGTTTAGATGAACGCATTTTTACCATGTGTCAAGTGAAAAACCAGCCCCTTGTTTACCTCATGCTTATGACACATCCCAGTCTGTACAGAGTTGATAATCTCACAGATGAGGTGAGTATTTTCATTGCTACATGGTCTGTTTTTCTGATCCCAAAGACTTGTATGATGTGAAAATAAATTTTGTTTAATCTCACAGGTTTTCCACGTTAAAGCCACGTATTTAAAATTCATTGTTTCATATTTTCCCACTTGTTGCATTTATCCATTTGTTATTTGGGACTGGATTGAATTCTGAAGAGAAGCTGTGCTCTGGCTAGGGATAGATGGGGAAAGTTTTTTCCTAACTTATTTTACTTTTTGCCTTGTGTCATTATGTTGCACTATAAATCACATGTATGTGTGAAGACAGTATAACAGATGCTTTAACTTTTTGTCCCTCTGTAACTTCCTTTATTTTAAAATGTCGAAGTAGTTCTGTGAAGAGTAAGAGAACATAAGAGTCTGAATAACTTTAGAGATCACATCTTTTGTACATAACAAATCTGATACTCCAGTTCTAGAACTAATTAAGTTGAAGTACACCCTCTCTAAATAAAACATTAAGAGATTTATTAGTAAATTATGCACTTGAAGCATGACTTGAACTAAACTGAGAAAAAAGGTCCAGCTTCAGTATTGAGTGCATATGTCCTATTCTTATTTAACCTTCCCTTCTTGTGCCTGTTTTGATGCATCAAGATATGAACCAGTGTTTTTTTCTTTTTGCTTTTTGCTTTAGGGGGCTCTTAACATAAATGATAAAACTATACCTCAGCCACCCATTCTCCAGCTGTCAGTGGAGAAGTTGAGTAGGGATGGTGCTTACCTGATGGATGCTGGCTCTGTAAGTTGTGTGGTGGTGGTGATTTTAAAAAGTATCAAAATTTACTTGACGTGCTCTTTATGAGAACTCAAAATGGGTAGGAGACTGCTGGGGTATAGTTTTGCATTGGATTAATGTTGTTATCACTGGGTATCTTTCAGGTAATGTTCCTGTGGATTGGGAAGAACTGTGGGCAGAGCTTTATCAGCCAAGTCCTTGGAGTTCCAAATTATGGCTCAATACCGCAAAATATGGTACGTGCTTGCTTTGCTGTACACCAGTTGTACAGTGCTGCCAGAAAATTATTTTCACAAGAACTAAAATACCACTAATCAAATGTCAGCTCTCCAGTTATTATTCTCTAGAAATTCAGATTTAGGGAAGGAAATAATTTCTCTTACCACTCTTGGAGTTTTTCCAGGCTAAAACTTTACAGGTCTTCCCATGAAAACACAGTAAGAAGAGGCTGGCAATGATTAAGTTTCTCAGAACTGTGGGAGCAGACTGAGAATACCTGTGAATAGTAAGCGCAGTGGGTTAGTGGGAAATCCTTTGGTTTCTGTAATAAAATGGGTATTGATCACAGCTCAGTCATCACCGTTCTGATAGCCAATTGCTGATATCAGTTTAGTGCGCTTGACTGTTTCAAGCTGTTTCCAAGGAGACTGGACTAAAACTGTACATCACAAAATGTATCAGCTTGTGTTTCCTTTATACCTGATTAGGATAGAGTTTGGCTATTTTAAGTGTTTCTTTTACTGTTTTTCTGAAAAATATCGCATATGTATTAATGATACTCTTTGCCTCTTAGACTCATCTCCCAGAACTTGAAACTGCAGAATCCATCAGAACAGTAGCTTTCATTTCCTGGCTGAGAGAGCAGAGACCTTTCTTTCCTATACTATATATAATAAAGTAAGTATTTTTTAACAGTCTTTGTGCTTCTTTAGGGACCTCTTAATGATACATATTTGGATATCATATACTGAACTTTCTTAATGGAGTTTTTAACAATGATGCATGCTGTGCATAACAGATATGACTTGTTTTAAGTTGTCTCCAATTAGAATTTCACAGACTAAAAGTCACAGAACAATCTTCAGTTGAAGTAAATGCTAAGTATACTTGTTAGGATTAATCACAAGGGTTATTTGAGATCCACTTTTCATACGTCCTTAAGCTCCTGAAATATCTTGCCACTTGACCTGTACCTTTATTAATGCATTGCACTGTAGATCTTGGCAAATGTTTCTTTCACTTAAACAGTTGTATTTTTATTTTTAAGGGACGACAGTCCATTGAAATCAAGTTTTCTGCAAAATATGATTGAAGACAGAACAGAATCAGCCTTATCATACTATGAATTCCTCCTTCATATACAGCAGCAAGTGAATAAATGAAACACTAGCCTTTGGCTCACTTCTTTAAGGAAAGATTTTGCAGTAAAGAACGATTGTGCTTGTAATATCTTCATTTAAATCTGTGGCCTGAGGCAGTTGATGAGAAGTTCTCACTGTGATTTCAACGAACTAAAGCAAATAAAGGACCACATCTGAGAATCAAATGTGCAACTACATAATATTGTACCTTAAAAAAAATCAAACTGTTGGAACTGGTTGAGCACCTTTAATTTGCTGCAAATCATGTTTTTACTGTAAGTAGTTGCAGCATGAAGTACATTTACAAAGGCAATACTGAAAAGGTGAAATACATTTTGTAAAATAAAGAGTTCTTTGTTGTTCAAAATGTATATTTCTGTAACTCTTTGCATTTTTTTTTTTTTGCTGCTAGATATAAAACCTCACAAAATGATAATGATTTGCAGGGAAATTCTTTCTAAGTGCATCCAGTGATTACAGACAGAGCATCTCAATGTTCAACTTAATGCTTAAAGTAGCAATGAAGCAACTGTTCATTGGGAAACGAACAAATACTTATGAAGCATAGAATCCAGTGCTTGGATTGGATTATGGCTAATAGGACTAAAGGTAAGCTTAACCTGGACAAGATGGCTAAATTTGTTAAAGCTTTTAATTAGTCAGTATTTTAATTAAAAAATAGTGGGGAGCAGCCAGCCCTATGCGAAACACTTCTTTAAAAGTCAGTGGCTGAGTCAGCAGCAAAAGTAGACTTAGGTAGATGGCAAGCTTTGTTTTTATTCAGTAAAAGGAATAGTTTTAATTTCAGTTTTTGAATGATGTGGGAGGGGAAGGGCAAGGAAGGTTCCCTCATTTTTTGGTTTACTTATAGTAGACTTCTGGCTCTCGTTTACATTAACTGAACCTTAGGCCCCTAAAATCTTAGTGCATTTCTGAATCATGTATGACAGCACTTCAAACGTAACGTTTTGAGACAACATTGAATATTCTGATGTTAAAATTGGAAAAAAAAAAAAAAAAATGTCCAAAGACAAAAATATTATATTGCGTTTGAAGCTTTGTTTATGGTTTGAGACATGCTTGAAGTTTTCAAAAATTATTTTTTTTTACTGCAGCTATGTAATAAGTGTAGCTCCAAAGCCAGTGTGTACCAAATAAAAGCTTTAAATATACTCAGATCCCTGCCAGAGCTACAGATGGAAGTTGACATTGGACTTGGAAGTGAAAATTTATATACAAAAATATTTGAATCATTTTATAGAAGTGTATTGATAATTGTTCTGGTTTTGAGATTAAGCTATCATTGATAGCTACCAACATAGAGTATTTAAGTTACTGTATCCCTATGCCCATGAAAGTATTACATATGGAAAAACTTTGGTTTGTTTTTTTGTTCACCAGTGGTAAACTTAAAGGTCTTGCAAAACCTACTTCCCGGGGCAAGTAACTTGAACAGGTAAAACACAAGTGGTGAAACATGAACTGTGATTAGGCTAGTTAACTTACATTTTGTGATACAAATGTCAAAGGACATCATAGGGTAATCATTTGCTGCCATTTCAGGATGTAGCTGCATGTGACTGTCAGGAGTTGCCTTACTTCAAGGGAGGAGTTTCTTTGGGGAAATTGTTCTTGTCACTTGAGCACAAGAAGCTGAAGTTCAGAACAATGTCTAAAATAGCATGAAAATACTATTATAGAACCAATTTAAGCTTCCCTGTCTGCTGTCTTCATAGCAAACAGGAGTATTCTTACTTGAACAGCTTTTCAGAGAATTGCACAGTTTCTAGTCATAGTGAAGAGGTTTTTTAAGTTTTAACAGTCTGATTTTTTTTTTTTTTTTTCTGGGGGAAATGGGCTCATCATTTAAATCATAAATGGAAGCTATGCACTTGCATAGGTTATGACTTAAAACTTGTGTTTTGGCTATGTTATCACTCGGATGTTGAAAATCATCCTTGCATCCTTTGCCCACCCAAAGTCTGTTTCTTACTATGACTGTATTTTGCTACTATATCCCTTATTTTTTTTTTAAATCATAAACATTGGAGATGGCTTCATTGCTTTATGTACACCAGACTAATGGGTAAAGGTATCAGTCTTTGTGGCAATTAACAACTCGGAAGAAGAGTCCCTAAGTTTTACAGAGCAAAACATTATAAACAAGAATCAGATGAACCCTCTTGGAGTTCTCTTCATTTGGAAGAAATTCTGTACTGAACTATGTTAGTTTATTCCCTCACAGAGGGAAAGGCTAGCTGGTTCACCTTGTATTGCTGTAAGGGCAGTATGGGACAGACGAAGACACAAACCTACCTATGATGTGTCATTTTTACCTACAATTTAAAAATGAGGACACTGAAGATGAACTGCAAGAATAGGCAAGAGTGGCTCTGGTACTTAGATCTCAGCACGACAACTCTACCACTGCAAATGTACTCTATTTTTCTAGTTGAAAACTTTTTTTTTTTTAAACTATTTCTGTATTTGACACATTAGTGTTCGGCCAACATTGTTACCATCCATTTTCCTTTGCTTTCATTATCTTTTTTAATTTAATATATTTGAGTCTTAAGTCCATGTAGATTGTGTTGCAATAACTCGAATGATTCTCTTTTATTTAGAATTAATTTCTTAACAGAATTTAATCAAAGATACAGAATGGCTGTTAAATATAAGGGACCATTAAATGTGATTTTAAAGTTCTGTTTACTATTATGGATGTAATCCTTATAGTAAATTTAATTTTGTAAAGTAGTGTATAATATTGTAATATTAAATCTTTGTTTTCTGAACTCAAACATTTGATCTTCAGTATGAAGTTATAAATCTTCCCCCTTCTGAATTTGAGACAGGATTTACTTGTCCTCCTTTTTACAGTTTGTAATTTTCACTGTTTTATTCCTGTAAAAAGTCATTTGTAACACATGCAAATGCTTATTTTATCTGTGCTAATTTATCAGATTTGGCTACTCAATAAAATTAATTGAAAGAACTCATGCAAGTCCATCACTCCTTTCTTATATGTAAAAATAGAATAATGTATTTGATCACTTGAGATAAATACCATGTACCAACAAGTGATAAATTCTACTTTTAGCTAAAATGTAATACTTAGATGATACAAACTGAGAGGGGAATTTGAGAAAATTAATTCTAGGTGACTCAAACTTTTTTTCTGTCACTGGCATTTTTTTTGTCCCTCCAGAGCATCTCTGTCACTATTGTTGTTCAGTCCTACTGTGGGGTTTGATCTTTCAGTAAGCCCACAGTGGTGCGGTACCCCGTCATCTGGCTGGGAGTTGGTGTCAAGAGCCAGCTGACATTGATGGTTGGAATTTAACCCTCAGCAGAGTTCCCAAGATGGTGATCAATTTTGTTGTAGGTAATCCTGTATCTTCATCTAACACCCTATTCTTTCAACACCATTTTGTAAAAGTCATTCTATCTTATGCTTGCCGATTTTTTTATGAGCGGTCATCACTGCTGCTTCTGGTTCATCATACATAAGTTAATGCATGAGCTTGGTACTTCTGTAACTAATACTTCTGTATTTAATAGTTTTTGAATACAGAATTCTATCATTCTCTAAATCACTTAGTATCGTAGAAATACTAACTGGACTTGTCAGCACAAAGTTTTTCCCCAATACATGCATCATTCTGTCCTGCTGCTGCTGAATTTCACCGCTCTGGCTGGGCTCGGCGTTCCATGGGCAGCCATGCTAGCACCCGTCTTTGGAACTCCCAAATACAGGATCTTGACGCCGTGTACTGCTTCTCATGGAAGAGCCTGTGGCGCAGTCTGTCAGTTAAGGAGTGCAAGTCATTTGTTGTCAAGGATGTTGAAGGTAATTAGTTTGAAGTATTGATAGAAAGTATCCATGTCCCTGTCTTCAATTTGGTTTGCCTTTCAGGTACTTTTGCTATGCCTCTTAGCTATGTGAATGTTCAGCTGAGGGAAGAGTACTGTGGCCCAGTTTTATCACTTTGCGATGCAAGTAGAGATGTGATGGACTTTGTTGTACATAAATATTAATATTATGCCAACTCTTTCTTGCTAGAAAGAACCAAAGATGGTCCCTGGTTTATGATGTTACGGTAATTCTGAAATCTGCAAGAGGTCCTTGTTCCCTTGGGTTTTTTTCTGCAGTATGCATAGTCAATCTCTTCAGCTGCTTACTGTGTTACCAGCAGTGCAGTGACACTACACTGGGAATACGATTTCAGAAGCTGACCTGTGCTGCCTAACAGTCCCCTACGAGGCTTTTCCCTACACTGTGTACTCCTTTCATGGATGTGTAAAAACATCTGTGTATTGGAGTGCCAGCAAACAGCATATTCTCTTTGCCTGTTTGGAGTGTGCTCAGAGGTGACAAATTAACTTCCTAAATTCAGCTTTTCCAACAGAAAAATCTCAAAACCTGGCAGTGGGCTCCTCTGTGCAGTGATCTCTTCTGAGGAGCACAGATGGGGCTAGAAATGAAACAGCTCTGTGCACTTAACCTTGTGAATACATCTGATATTCTGCTGCTTTTGTATGATCACAATTCTAACTTTGTCGCTTTTCTAGTTATGGAGTGTTAGGTAACTACTACTTTGGTTAGAAACATAAACGTTCACTTAGAGTATAAGTTTCTACACAGAACACTGCTTTCAGATCCGCAGGGTAAGGAAAATGTTACCATCCTGGGCTAGCTTTTATACTGAAGTGTCAAGCAGAGTCGCCTCACCGCACGGAAAGTGGCTTTCCCAGGTTTACAGACATCAGAATTTTAAGCAAATGATGGCAGGAGCTGGCACCCGCGACCTAAGTCACGTCGCAACCGGGGTGTTTTTCCCATATCCAGCCTCTCCCCTTCACCTGGCAGGAACCCTCCCGCTACCCCGCCTCCCACTCAGCCAGCGGGAGCCGCCATCGCCCCTTCACGGCGCGGTCACCCTTGCCTCTCGCGACGTCACTTCCGAGGCCGGAGCGGCCATCTTCAGTGAGGGCGCCCTCCCTCAGCGAGCACGGCGCGCCAAGGCCGCTCCCGCTGCGCGGCCCGCTGTTTTCCTGCCCTGAAGCAAGGTGGCGGCGCTTGCTTCAGCGGCTGGGTGGCGGGAGGCGGGCGCCTGCGCGCTGAGGCCGGGCGGCCCCATTGTGCGGCGCTGAGGGAAACGCCGCGGCCTTTCCTGGCGGGGATGGAGGAGGGCGGCGGGGCGGCAGCGGCGGCCCTGGGGGCACCCGCCGGCCTCTCGGCCTCCCAGCGCCGAGCCGAGCTGCGGCGGAGGAAGCTGCTGATGAACTCGGAGGAGCGGATCAACCGCATCATGGGCTTCCACCGGCCCGCGGCGGGCAAGGGTGAGCCTTGTGGCGGGAGGCGGCGGGGCTGCGGCGGCGGCGTGAGGGCTCCCGGCCGCGGGGCTGGCCGCAGTGTCCGGCCGCGGCTTCCTTCTGCTGTAACCGCTCCCTGCGGGCTCCTCGTGGGACGGGAGCGGCTCTGGTGCGGCCTTTCAGTGAAGCACGACCTTCGCTGGTCCTCGAGAGGCCCGCGGATAAAATACATGTGTCATCAGAAACGTGCTGAAATCGGGTCTTGGGGCCTGTTGCTGTTCTTACATAGCGAGTAGACAAGCTGTCACTTCAAGTAGTTTTTCTCAGTTGAAGAAACAATCAGCCTCCCCCGCATTTTCATTCAGTAACTGCTTGCTTTCATAGCTGTGTTTTTTAAATCAAAGTTTTCTTGCATTTGGATAATGAGCAGTTATTGGGTGTTTGCGGTTGGCAGGCAGAATTTTCTTGCGGTTTCATAGGTAGGCCGTTTATATTTCTGTATGTACTTTGAGAAAGCTGTGTTGTCAGACAGTTCTCTGATTTTGGTTTATTGCCCATAAGCCATAAATCAGTCTCCTTTAATACTGAAAAATACTCCTTAAGAGTTGGTCCTTCCTATCCAGTAGGACCAGACCTGTTCTGCATGCTTCTTGGTTTGGTTTTGTTCTCTGGCATCACGTCTTTCACTGCAAAATGGGGGTTGACACTGCTTTGCCTCTGACAGTGGGGAAGAACAAGCCAAAGTACACTTCTATTGTCTGCTTATTTGTCAGTCTTTAATGCTCCTTCTGTGTGATTCACTTTCTGTAAATATTCTGTCTTTTTTTATGTTGCTCCATGTATTTGGAGCATCTTTCCTCTTGCACATACAATGTTTGCTTAAGGAAGTCCAGTGTTTCCATTTCTCCATTGCTGACTGACAGCTTCAAATTCCCACTTCTGTTGCACAGCTTTCTGTTTCGTGTCTGCCCCATTTCTAAAGACTGCCGTGCAATGCATGTGGTACATGTTGGGTTCTTTATAGGCTGGTGGAGGGGAGCCTAAAAGTATAATTCTGGTGAAGTTGATGAGCATTTTCAGTCTGGTCTGTTGTGTGTCCTTCCCTTTTCGTTACCGGAATCTGTGGTGTAACCTGAGTGTAAACCTTTCCTTTGATATGCAAGCAGGTTGTGCATCAGCTGAGCCTATTCCTTTTTAAAATGGGATTGCTTGTGTTCAGGTGTGTCAGATGGGTTTGTGATTAACAATTAGCACATTTATTAATCATAAATCTGTCTTTTCACTTTGGAAGTGGAGACATCAAGTCAGGATCCCAATCCAGTACGGTTAAAGTATTGTTTCATGTACCTGGTGTGCATAACTTTTTTTTTTTTTTTTTTTCCCCTCTTCTTTAGATGATGAAAGTCACACAGAATCAAAGCTTCATCACGAACAAGATAAATCAAACTCCCTTCCCATTCCTTCCGTTTCCAAGCGAATTGTGCTTGGTGATTCTGTCTGTAACATGGCAGGCACGGCTGACCATGCAGGCAGCATGTTAGACCTCAAAGGGGATAAGGACTTGTTCAGTAAAACTCCAGAGCTTGTCAATGAGGGTACAAGTGAACTGCGTCACCGTAACAGAGGGGAACTGCCATCTGAAGCTGCACCACGGCCACCTAGACATGGATTAGACCAGTACTTATCCAGGTTTGATGAAGCTCTGAAGCTGAGGAACCAGCTGATGCATGAGAAGCCAAGCCAAGAGAATGGGAATGCAGTGGAGGAGTTTGACTCTTTCCGCATTTTTAGATTGGTGGGATGTGCTTTGCTCGCCATCGCAGTCAGGGCTTTTGTGTGCAAGTACCTGGTGAGTTCAGGAAAATAAACAGTCCTATTCTGTTTTGCTAGTTTACTGCAAGCCTACCGTGAAGTACCCTTTATCTAGGGCTGAAGGCTGTCAGTAATAACTGAGTTGGGAACTTAAGAAACTATACGTTTCTGACAACTGTATTAAACATTAAAAAAAAATCCAACCTCTGAATTCTTTGAAATGGTGTTACCTAACATAGCCTCTGTATAACATCTGAGAGTAGCGCACTGGTCCATAGTGTTTGAGGAGCAGAAGCACTGGAACAGTTGCTGCAGCTTGAGTCCCCTGCAAGGTTATTCCCATCTTTGTGAGCGTGAGTCAACTGCTTTTCTAGTTCGAAGTCTACAAAAGAATAACAGGGTAAGAATAACAATAGTTTTCCTAAGATAAGCAGATCCTACTCATTTATCAATCTTCTGAAAAAAGCAGTTCCTCAGTACTCCAGAGGCGTGTGGCTGGTGCAGCCTGCCACCTCCTGGATCACTCCACTCATTTTTACACACTGCTGTATGCTGCTGCGATTTGAGGGTTTTAGGCTCAAGGAAAATAAGGCAGAACCTTATTTTTGACATTTAACTTGTCTAATTAGGCTTGTAGTATTCATAAATACTATTGCTGTTGTTCACAAATTATTTTTTTACCTACCTAATTTTCTTTTATGACTTGGGAAAGCATTCAATTTCTTTGTTTTCTTAGCTATTACTTACTATGACCAAGTTAATTTTCGTATATTCTTTTCTGTTTCTTCAGTCAATATTTGCACCATTTCTTACTCTACAACTTGCTTACATGGGACTGTCCAAGTACTTTCCAAAGGTAAAGTATTTTTTTAGAATAAGATTAATTTGAAATGTTTTAAATTTAAACTTGTGCTTAGATTGTATTGTTTTAGGACCAATGCATGTGAAGTATTATTCCCTTGTTTTAAACTGTAGAATTGAGAGTTATCAAATGCTCATAATTGATACTAGTTTCTAATCTTTCCAGATTTAGTACAAATCTTTTCTAGTAACTTGTTTAGCTGTAGCCTAATTAAAAGCATCTGACGAGGAAAGCCGGGTAGTTCTTTCATGTCTTTAGGAAACTTGCTTTTCTCTTAGACCATGCTCTTCTGTGGTTAATTTGCTCTGTCAGCAGCTGTTTTGTATGTGATACCTGGAGGAAATCTGGGAAGGTGTTCATTAAAAAATGAGACAGCCCTTGGGTTTTAAGGGCCCTGCATTCCATTGCTAGTATCAGTTTGAATGGCAGCTTGAAATGAGACATTTATTTGTGTGTGCAGCTTGAGGCTTATTAGCAAGATTTGCTGTATCACTTCCTTTATGTATTTAGACCAGTTAATTGTGCTGAACTATTTGTTTGGGTGATGGTTTTGTCAAGTCTACAGTGCAAAGTGGCTTTGAATGATGCTCAATCCATAGTTGAAAGGGAAAATTTGCATTTTAAAAGGAATAATAGATTACCTGTAGAGAATCAGAATGAATTGGCAGTACTTTTTTAGTTAAGCGTATCATTGAAAACTGAACTTCATAGTAGTAATTCTAAGGTGACATGTCCAAACACAAAAGACTAGAATTAGCCTTAGATTTGCACCAGCTCATCTGCTAGATCTTTTTGATCTTGTTTCTGCTGTCTTTAAAATCAGCTCTTCAGTTTCAGAATTTAAAGAGGTGGTTCCTTTCCACATCTTGATTTTATTGCACTTAGCCCTAGATGAGGTCAATCAGCTTGTTAGCCTTCATTTTTCTCTCATGAAACCTAGAAAGATTCTTGAAAGCTTAATTTAGATTGGATTAAGATACCCAGCAAGTGTCTGGAAATTACCAACATTTTCAGCTACTATCACCTTTTCCTGCCTCCCACACTTTGCATCCTTGGGATTCTTCATTTTAAGGACAGAAGAACGGCTTTCAAAAGGGCTTTTAGGCATTTCTGAGTTCAGCAGATAAAATTGCCAAATTGAGTCATACTAAAACAGAAAGAAACAGTTTTCAATTCTAAATATTTTTGTGTGTGTGTGTTAGAAAAGTAACTGGTTTTTGCCAAGTAGTGTGAAGAGATTAATCCTGTCCTGCCAGCAGAGGATGCCTGGCTTTGCTTCATACAGCCAGGTTGCCCTTGTCTGTAACTTCCCACTCCTGCAGAAGCTGCTGCACAGCCCCACTTTACAGCCTGGGTGAAGTAGGGATGATATCTGTGATTAATTTTACCCATTGTTAACCAGCTTCTCACTCAGCTCCCTTGGATCCATCACAGCATGAATCTGTAGCTACGATAAGTGTTGTGAATCCTGGAGCTTGTCTGGAGAGAATCAATCCAAACCTGCTACTCTTACCAATGAATTTGGAATGTGACTGGCTGTGTGTGAAATTGGCACAATATTTGTGACAGGTAAAGCAGAAGTGGATTATAACAGAAGGACTAACCTAATACTCTTTTTTTTTTTCTTTTAGTGTGAGAAGAAGGTGAAAACGACAGTATTAACTGCAGCTCTTTTACTGTCTGGAATCCCTGCAGAAGTGATTAGTCGCTCCATGGACACCTACAGCAAAATGGGAGATGTTTTCACAGACCTTTGTGTCTATTTCTTTACTTTTATCTTTTGTCATGAACTTATCCTGGTTTTTGGTTCTGAAGTACCATGATGTCTGTAGAATTCAACACAGTTACACTAAAGCTTTCTGGACTATATATCCTTTAGCATCTGACTGGGCAGACAGGTTTAAACCTTCATTAAAATTCTTACCTGTTCAAATGCTTGAAAGGAGCCTTAAATTCAGTGAGTTTGGGAAAGGAAGAGCAGAGTCCCAGACTGCCAGTTGTTGGTTCAGTTTATTTAAATACTGTGTCTACCTATTACAAATGTGAAGAATAGGATGCAAGTGTCAGTGGATGATTTATTTGGTCTAGATGATGCCCTTCTCAGCCTCCTTCATAAACATCTACAAAGCTGCCTTTGTTCTTTTCAGTGAGAACAAAGATAAGAGACTTCCTATCAGCAGAACCATATATATATATACATATATCCAGTATGACTATAGCTGACAAGAACTGCTCGTTTTGTGATGTTCCCATTTTTTAAAGAAAGCTCTACATAAAAGAAATCCTTGTATTCTGTTTAAATTCAGAATGTTGAACAAAGTAGCTGCTTCTGGAGAATGTTGGTGAAACATGCCACTGTTGTCCTAACGCTTGCCTTGCTATACATTATTTGTTGTGATTGTGATTAATTTCATTTGATGATTATAGTGCTAAACAGCTAAGCAAAACCAACAACAAAAAAGTCCTTTTGCTTCCAAATGTAATTAATCAAAAAGTAGGAGGAAACAAAATCATTCATCTCACCTGTTTGTGAGTTTCCAGCAGCCTAACCCTAGTGTAGCTCATACATGTGCTTCCATTCTGATGCCTTTTCATTATTACTGTTCATCTCATGAGGAGAAAGTTGTATATATTGGCAACCAACCTCCAGTATCAAAAGTTTGCTCTAGTATATGTAAAACTTACAAGGGAATTTTTTTTTTTTTCTAGCTCCTTGCAGGATTGCATAGCACAACTTTCAATACAACATTAATTTTTTCAGTTTGTCTCTATTACCAGACATTTCCATGTAAACAGAATCTTAACTCCAGAGGAGTTCTGCTCCTGCTGTGCAGTACTACAACCCAACAGTATACAGTCTTTGATTCAGCAGTTACTTAATTTAACCTTTTTGGTGTGTTCTTGAAATTGCCCCAGTGAAATCACAGTAGACATTCCTGTTTAAATCCTATATACTACAAGTTTCAGTGAAATAAAGCAGTGCACCGAGTTGACTTCCACATGAAGATCTATGTGTGAAGCGAGAATATAATTTTGAATTTCTTTCTGTGGATGTCCAACCGCATGGGTGACAAGACAAGTAGAGATGAGTCCTGTCACTGGATAAAGCTGCAAGCTAGTGAGTGCTTTTGTTTTCATTCTCATACGAATTTTGCACAGTGAGAGGAAGGAAGTGTCATTCCAAATAGTCAGTATAGACACTGATAATTGTGAAAATTTCCATTGAAGCTAAATTTGATATTATTTTCAACTTGTAGTTTTCTGCCTAGAATCTGTACTTTCAGGTATTCTAGGCCAATGCCTTTTCTTAGCGTAGAGAAACACCTATGTATCTTGGTATTTATCTGCATAAATTTTTTTAGGGAGCAAAAGTGTTTGATTATTCCTCTTTAAAGTAAATAGCCCTGCTTTTTAATCCTTTCTGTTAAAGCTTCCTGCTGTAATTTTAGCACTGCATTTCTGCCTCTTAAGTTAGGTATGTTTGTTTGTGGCATGAAAACAAGAAGCTTACATTTGGATTTGACCATTTTTATGTTTTTACTGATTATTTTACAGTGAATATCATGTTACAAGTGTCCAGGACTGGGCTGCAAAAGAGTCTGACTTAGGTCTATTAGCACCAATATTTATTCAGAAGCTTTAAATTTGTTTATATTAGACAGGAATTTCAGCAAATTGAAATAGTGGTCATTTAAATTAAGATTGAGATATGTAAATAATGAGTTTGCTCAAAAGTTGTTCTCTCTATTTATACACTCAAACGTAATACAAATTAATCGCAAAAATACCATGTACTAACATCTGGAAAAGCAATGAATTTTTAATCTGCAACATAAAAATCTGAATCCTTATCAGCTAAATACTAAAAAACTAGCTGACCCCACCAGCTGTATGTTCACTCAACCTTTTGCACTATCCTTCTGTTCGAGGAAAGATGAAGCGGGTTTTCTTACGCGGTGAAAGAAATCTTGCTGTGAAGACCTAACCTCAAACTTTTCAGCCCGTAAACACTGGGATTTGTTCGATGATGTCAGGGTGGGCTGGAGGAATTCTGCCTGCCCCTGGGTGAAGAGGCGTGGTGCCTGGAGGGGCTCATGCCAAATGATGCTTCTTCCCCTTTGGTCAAGAAATTATTCCTTTTAATTCCATTTTTAACTTATCTCTGTTCAGGTACATAATTCTATTTAATGTTTATTGCCAAACTGATTGTTTTCTATTAAAAGTATATTTGTTACCCCCTTCCTTGGCCGTTTGTCCTGGCTGGGGAAGAGGGCTAGGGGGTGTGATGGGTCGCCTCTCTCCTGGGCTGGGCTGTGAGGACGGGGCTGGTGCCTTTCCTCGGGCGATTGCAACAAGTGTGTTGGCGGGCAGCTGCCCGTTTTTGGGGTGCTGCCTGTCACTGCCTGTTGCTGACCGTTTTTGGGGCGCTGCCCAGTTTGGGGTGCTGCCTGTCACTGTCTGGTTTTAGGTGCTGCACGTTTCAGCGTGCAGCCTGTTTTTGAGGCGCTGCCTGTGTTGGGGTGCTGCCCGTTTTAGGGGCACTGCCTGTTTTTGGGGTGCTGCCCGTTTTGGGGGCACTGCCTGTTTCTGGGGCACTGCCATTTTCGGGGGCGCTGCGCCCTCCAGGCCGCCAGGGGGCGCAGCAGCCAGGCGGCGGGCAGGAAGCGGGGGGGGCGGCAACTTCCCGCCGCTCCTCTCGTCGTCCCGGGCTCTGGGGCGCGGAATGGCCGCCGCTGTTTAGCGCAGGGACCGCGCCGCCGCCGCCATGGGCCGGGAGTCCAGGTGAGGGCAGCGAGGGCACCGCCGCTGCGGTCGGCCTGGCCCCGTTCCGGCACTCGCGGCTCCCTCAGGTGGCGGCGCGATGCGGGTGGCTGCGTGAGGGGGGGAACAAAGGGCGGTGGCGGCGGGGCCTCCTGGCTGGTGGGCACGGTGAGGGCCCCGGGCCCGGCGCGGGAGCGAGGGGCTCGCTGTGAGGGTAGGACCGGGCTGGGCGGCTCTGGACTGCGGGCCGGGCTTTGGGCAAGCTCCCCTCCGTGCTCCCCGGCTCCCCTCCGCGCTGCCGCGCTCGTCCCCGCCGCCCACCCCTCGCAGCAGCCGCCGGGGGGTCGTGGCCGCGGGTCTGGGCTCGGCGCGGGGTACACACGCTTGGTTGCGGTGCTTGGCGTTGGGTCCCGAGTGCCGGGGCTAGCGGGCACGGACCCCCGAGCCTCTCCGAGCCCACCCGCCCTTCGCTGGCTTGCTTTGAAATAACGGCAACGGTACAGTTCGCCGGGAGGCTGTTTTTACCTGGATTAGACGTTTTTGCTTGTTCTTTTTAAGTTTATGCAGGATCACGTATCTTTTGTCCTCTCGCAACGGGTATAAACACCTGATAAGGTGCTGTAACTAACTCAGCAGTAATGTGATCGTGTGCTTTGTGTGTTTCGGATCAAGCCTATGCTGCCAGATGATTTGGAGCTGCTCACACATACCAGGCTTTAAACCCAACTCCCTAATTTGCAAAGTGCTGTTGTGGCATGTCTCTCTTTCCTAGTTTAATCTAACCATCAGATTTTAACACTAAAACTGTGACACAGTAGTCCCCACATGCAGTTGTCCCTACACTGTAACACCTTCCTAGATCCCTACCTGAGATTTATCTTGAGAGGCAGATGAATTGAAATTTTTAACAGCTGGCTTGGGTTCAAAATTAGTGATTCATTGAGGAGCTGGGTACTCCCATAAATATGTCTAAATTGGTTTAAAACTAGCTAGGGCAGCAGTTGTTGCCAGCAGGACACCGTTAGAGACTCGGGCTCTGCAAAATCTCCTGGGAACTGAACGTCAAACTGCTGACACTCAAGCTAGCAGGACACCCTTGCTTATCACAGTACAGCTTCTCTTCTGATAGTGACAAGTTTTTTTTATGTTTGGGTTAAAAATAATGTAAAAAGTGAGTTTAAACTTGTACTAATCTTCTGTTTTAATACCTCCAAAAAGTTTTAAAAGTGAAGAAGTAGTAAGGAGGTGAGAGTGAATGATGGGTGAGGTGGGCTGCATGTGCTGGAATTGATGTAAAGAAATGTTCATCAGGCTGGGGCTTTTGAAACCTGAAATCATGTACTCAGCTTTATTGCACACTGTAGAGGAAGACTTAAAAAAAAAAATTAGTTTTCTAAAACTAAAAGATTAGAAAGAGGGGAAGTATGGAGCAGCTCTTGTGGCATTTTGTGACTGAGATGGGAAAGAAATTAGAGCTATCGCTGACGGATGTTCTTTGCATTCAGTTGTACTGCTGATAGGCAGTATATTGATATGCTGCTACTGTACTGATTCTAAGTGTACATGGCACCTAAATATACCAAAGTGCTGAAATAATCTGTATTATTTTTAGTGCTGGTACTGTTGTAATACAGCCCTGGGTGACTGGTGGGAGGGAAAGAAGGAGGTGGGTGCTTGAGGTCTTACCTTCTCTGCTTCTTCCTGCTTCCCTAGCCTGGCTACTAGGCTTGTCTGGAGAAATGGTGTGCAGGTCCTGGGCTACAGAGGGGTGAACAAGGGAATTATTCTGGTGTAGTGACTGAAAATGAGGAGTGGGAGGAAGAGGAGATGGTCACAGTTGAGGTCCCTCTGTGACATTTACACTCAGTTGAAGAGTTTCCTAGAGAATTCCTAGCCCTACTGTCTGCCACAGTGTGGTTGGGATAACAGAGCATTAATGAGGGGAGAAAAAAAGACTCCCATCTTCATCACACACCCCTCAAGCTAACTTCTTAAAGCTTCTGTTGTGACATTTGATGATGTGGTATAATTTCTTGTGATGTGAATATCGTAACACTGACCACAGCTGTGTCACATATGCTCAGGGTTTTATGCTTATTTATTTGCAGTTTGGCAGCTTTTCCGTTGAGCAGAGGTATAATTTGCCTAGCTTACATTAAAATTTATATATTGCAAAAAAGATTTTTTAATTTGTTCAACAAATTTTGAGATGACTTCAGAGAGTCTTCGTCTTTTCCTGTGTATAATGGAAATCAGTGAATTTCTAAAAAGGAAATTGTTATTAATGTTCTAGTGTTCTCATGATGTGCTTATATAGTAGTACTCCAAAACCAAAACAAAAATATAACAAAGTAATCCCTCTAATTTCAGCATCATTAGGCATATGCGTATATTTGTTAGTTTGGCAAAAGGGTTACAAATGTTTAGAAATTTTAAAAGTCCCAAGAAATTAAGATAAGTAATTATTTTTGGCCTGTCCACCTCAATATGACAAATATCCTTTAACTGCAAATTGTTCTCACATTCATGTTCATCACGTTTTTGTGAATTTCCGATGCAGGCATTATCGGAAGCGCTCTGCGTCACGTGGGCGCTCTGGTAGCCGTTCTAGAAGTCGTTCTCCATCTGACAAAAGAGGAAAACGTGGAGAAGACAGACGCTCTAGAAGTAGAGATCGAGAACGTAGACGTGAGAGGTCACGCAGTCGGGACAAGAGAAGGTCTCGATCGCGTGACAGAAAACGTCAAAGGTATGACTTATCAGTTCCTATCAAAGCAGATAAAGATGCCTGTCATCTGAATATTGAGGACTATAATTAGTTACTTTACTGTTGTTTATGATAGATTTTACTGTGCTCAACGTTTTTCCTTGTTAAATGGTTTCTAGCTGCTACTGCTGGAGCTTGTAAGCTCTTAATGGTCTTGATGATTGTTGGATTCCCTTTACAACCTGTTCATCAACAGCAGACTAAAGTTATACTATGATCACGTGCTAAATAAATACAAATTTGTTCTGTGGCAGACGGTCAAGAAGTAGAGAAAGGGAGCGGAGCCGAGAGAGAAGAAGATCCCGGAGCCGAGAGAGGAGGCGCTCCAGAAGCAGAAGTAGAGGTAGACGGTCTCGATCCTCTAGTCCAAGCAAGAACAGGAAAACAGAAAACAGGTATCTGTGTTCTCTAATTACAATCAAAGTCATAGTGACAAAATATCATAAAACTGTTGGTAGCATGGAGGAAATCATCAGGCAGAGCTATGTAAAGCTTTGGTTTGTAGAACAAGGAGAGTATTATGTGAGTGTACTGTTACGATCTTTTCCCTTTGCTTAATGTTCTAACATAGTTTGTTGTGAGAACGTCTCTGTAAAAAAAAAAAGATCCAAGTTGTAGCAGCTAAAAAAAGCAGTTAACTTTAAAATTAAGACTGAATTTAATTCTGGAAGTTTTGTAGTGCTTCATTGTTATCTGAGGTTCCAGTATCAATAAGTAATATTTTGTGCCCCAGCATGTATGCCCAAATTAATAAAGTACAGGTACTCTCTAGCACAGGCGTTACATTGAAGTATAACTTTCTTTAAACTTGTAAGTTAGTGGAGAATAGTAAGTTTTGGTTACCAGACCTGCTCCAGTGCAGTGTTCTCAGTGATGCACTATATCATCTTTTTTCTCAGATAAAGCGCTTTATTTTTTTGGAAACATCCAGGGGTTTTAAAAAATGCAGGTGGGTAGCAGCAGAGGATCTATAAACAGCCTCATGGCTACATCTGTAACAGGAATTTCTAACCTGTTAAAAGTGCCACTGACTGTACCTGAACTCAGTGTTCACAAAAGGTGTTCTAAAGAATGTAAACCAATCGTGTTTGGAATCTGCTTTTTTAAGTTATATTCTGCTTTTTTAAGTTATATTTGTGCAGAAAAACAAAGCATATAGAGTAACACTTCAGAGAAGCTCAGGAAGTCTGCTTTGGTAAAGCCACTGCCTGTTTATCTGCTGCTTGTTGAATTCTGTGGGTGTGTTTAGTGCTGCAATCAATATGGATTTGACAAGTACTGGTCTTAGGGGTTTACAATCGAATATAAACTGTCTAGTAAATAGACTTAGTAAAGAGCTGAAGCTTAAACTCTTTTAGATGTTGACTTCAGAAATGTTTAAAGGTTTACTAGAGGTCATGTTCTTTTTAACGTATTTTAATGGAATTTTCAGATATAATTACAAACAGTATATAATCATGCTATACTGTAAAATGAGTGGGAAGTCCGTAAGTTATAACAGCAGTCTATATAAAGAATAAGCAGGTTGATGACAATCTAGAATTTGTGAGAAGCTGGAATCACAGTCTTTCGGAATAAGCGTATAGTTTGTATTAGAATAGCCCAATGAAAAAGGCTTGATGAGATTTAACTGGCTAAAGTGAATTTTACATTTATTATCATGAGTTAGTGCATGTCTGGTTTAGATGCTTTTTTTTTTCTTTGTTTTAATTG